GGGGGGCACAGCCCAGCCCTGTTTGGAGAAGGCAGCTCTTAGTCACCCACAGCTGTGTGCTGAAGAGGCGGGTACCTTTTAGTCTTGATGTTGCTGCTAGAGATGGGTAGGGAGGGGGGAGGTAGGGAGGAGTTAGCTCAGTGGAGCACTTGCTTAGCCTGAGCCAGACCCTGGGTTCAATCCCCAGCACTGGGGAAAAACAATGTTGGAGACATGTTACTGCTGGCCTCTGCTGGCTGCCTTCCTTTGAATTTCCCTTCTTGTTCTTTGCCTTGGGAAGTTTTTTTATTTTATTTTATTTTTATTTTTTTGGTGCTGAGGATTGAACCCAGGGCCTCAGGCATGCTAGGCAAACACTCCACCACTAAGCCACATCCCCAGCCTTCAATTCTTTTATCTGTCGAATAGGCTCGAGACTGAGTTGTCAGTTTACACTAATTACACTTATTCATTAAAAAAATTTTAATTGTAGATGGGCACAATACCCCTATTTTACTTATTTATGTGGTGCTGAGGATTGAACTCAGTGCTCCACGCAGACAAGGCATGTGCTCCACCACTGAGCCACAATCCCAACCCACATTTATTCATTTTTAAGGAAACATTTCTGGGCTCATCTGTATGGTAGAACTTAATTCCATGACTCAGTAATTTTAATGAATCATAAAAAAGAACATATGCATTTACCAAAAGCTGCACATGAGAATAGTCATAACATTCTCATTATACTATAAAGTGGAACAAGCCAAGAAAAAAGCAGTAGAAAAGGATGAGTTTTGATGTATTTATACAATGGCACACTACACAACAATGAGAAAGAACCTCAACTATACAAATAATACAGATGAATCTTATGAATATTGAATGAAAGAAGTCAAATGCAGAAGAATGCATAGTGTATGATTCCATTTATATTAAGTTTGAAACCAGAGGAATAATTTGGAGTATTAATGCTCAGGTTAGTGTCACCTTGTGGGGCTTGGGCAGTGACTAGTGACTGGAAAGAGGGTTGAGATGTTCCTTGATCTGGGTGCTGGCTACACAGATGCGTTCATTTTGTGTGCATGGTTTGTGATGTATGCACTTTTTGATATGTCATACTTAAATAATTATTTTAAAAGGAAAAAAATTGCTTTTATTTAACCTAAAAAAATGTCTGCCTTTGATCAGGTTTTGGAAATCTCAAATGGCTAAGCTACTACAATCTCCACCCAAGTTTCTGCCCTCAGAGTGGCACATCTCTAATAAGAATCAGTACCACAGGGCAGAGGCCCAGAGGTCCCAATCGGAACGCCTGGTGGCAGAAAGCCAGAGGCTTGTGGATGAAATTGATAAGACCACAAGGAAATCTCAAAGTGATGCGAACAAGAAAATTGGTAAGACCTCCCATATTCAGATGAGGCTACTGAGTTTTGGCTATAGTGTCGCATTCAAATGTGGCAATGGAGCACTCTTGAAATATTAGGTGACATCCTATATATTCTCCAGGCTTTGTGTTTTAGCTCACTGCCCTCAGACAGACACATAGTAACTCAGTCTGATTTTCAGCCATCTGCCAGCCATCATTGATTTGGTACACGTTTAGAGATCTGTGGATCTATGCCCTGGGAATGATCAGAATCTCTGCTTTTTAGGGGCTCCTGGTTAAAGAGGAGAAAGATACAAAAGTTGATGTTCAGACCATAACCAGATAGGTGCTGGAATAGGAAAATTAAGGTAGGGATGGGATAGGAACTGGAAAACTGGGAATGTTTTCCTAGAGAGAAACATTTGAGCAGGGTCTTAAAGGAAGAATAATTTTTCTCTTGACAATTCCATACTTAAAAATGGTATTTAAAGAATAGTACCCCTAAATAAGTAAGAACAAAAATAAATATAAAGCAAAACAAGCAACATCTCCTGAACACCAAGAGATGATAGGCCAGAGGCTACAACTCAAATATCTATAGTGGCCAGGTAGGTAACAAAGGGGTTGGATGTAAGACCATAGTGAGTGGTGACAACTGATTTTCAAGCTCTAAATTTTAATGTCTTTGATTCATTGAATAATTTAGAAGTCTAGCCATTTATAAGGTCATTAAAAAACATCAAGGGCTGGGGGATGTAGCTTAGTGGTAAAGCATGTGTTTTGCATGTAGAAGGCCCTGGGTTTGATCTCTAGCACTGCAAAAACACAACAATAACAATAACAAAAATCACATGCTTAGGAATAAATCTAACAAAAGATGTGCAAGAGTTCTACACTGAAAATTACCACCCATTATTGTAAAAAACTAAAGTGGTTATAAATAAAAGCAAGGATATATGAGTTAATGGATTAGAAGAATCGGTATTTTAAAGATGCCAATTCTCCCTAGGTTAATCTATAAATTCAGTGCAATACTAATAAAAAAAAAGTCTCAGCAGAATTTCTGATGAAATTGGCAAACTGCTTCTAAATTCATAGTGGCAATACAAAGGGTCAAGCATAGACATGACTAAGTTCTAGAAGAACACAGCTGGGAGACTGTGGATTATAAGACCTATTCTTATAAAGCAATGATAATTAAGGCAATGAAATATAGGCAAGGATAGACAAATTGACATAGGAACAAATTGACAAGGATAGACAATGAGACATAGTGGAGAGATGAGAAATAAACTTATACATTTATGTTCGTCTGATTTATGATAAAAGCAGTACTGTAGTGTGATGGAAAGGGATCGTCTTTTTTAACATTAAAAAAAAAATTTAGATGTTGATGGACTTTTATTTTATTCATTTATTTATATGCGGTGCTGAGAATTGAACCCAGTGCCTCACGCATGCTAGGCAAGCACTGCATCACTGAGCTACAACCCCAGCCCCAGGATCATCTTTTCAATAAATTGGACAGTTGGACATTCACATGAAAAAAAATTATATCCCAAGCCCTACTTCATATCATGTATTAAAAAATCAAATTGAGGTGAGTGCATATCTAAATGGTAAAGATAAATTAATAAAACTTTTAGCAAACATCTTAATGACTTGGAAAAGGAAAAGATGTCTTATTTACAAAAAAACCATAAAAGCAAAAAATAATAAATGAGATTAAATTAAAGAATACATTTGTTTATCAAAGACATAGGAAGAGCTGGTTGAACTTCATTAGTCATTAAGGACATGCAAATTAAAACCACAGATTGAATGTCATTACACACCCACAGTGACTGAACTGAAAAAGCAGAGGTGATCCAAAAGAAAGGAAAAAGAAAAATCTAAGCATTAGGAAGGATGTGGAGTTACTGGAACTCTCTTCTGGTGGAAATATAAATTGTTATGACCACTTAAGAATGCTTTGGCAGCATCTACCAAAGTTGGACATGTATAACCTTTCACCTTGCCATTCCATTTTGAGGTACCAGAATCCGTCCATCCATCCATCCATCAGTCCATCCATCCATTCCTTTATTTCTTCATCTGTTAAATAGGTCCATCTCATGCTAGATTTACCAGAGTATAAAGCTGAAGATAGACACATTTTAGTAATTGTAAGATATAAAACACAAAAGATAAGTTAATAAAATTATTCCATGTTAGCCTGGATTAAAGCAATGAATGGTTGGAAAGATGAAGAGCAGAGGTGATCAATAATTATCATGTTGGATCCATGAATTAATTTTAACAATGGAAGACAAGGACAAAATAATAAAGGCAAGATGCAGGTGCATTTATGGGGAATGAGAAGAGGTCCAAGTTGTGGTACTGAATACAGGAAGGAGAGCAGCATGCTGGAGATGAGTGGACCTGAGTGGGAGTCAAGACTGAACCCTGGCTGAGGGAGACCTTGAATTTGGAAGGTTCAGTTCAGTAAGTAGCTATTTAGAATTTAGGAGGCAGCATTAGGAATCTAGAGATATCACCTTAAGACAGGAAGTAGACTACTCAAAGAAGATGTTGAAAGAGAATAAAAGAGGGCAGAGAATGAAAAGGATTTGGGGAAGTGTTGGGGAATGAGAGCTTGGGTAGAAGAACAAAAAGATCAAGGTCAGGAAGGACAAAAGACGGGGGCTCTATGGGCGAGGAAGTCTTGTGTTGTATCCAAGTCTGTCTAAATGTCAAGGAGGCGGAGAGTTGAACAAGAAGGAATCTGAACAGGTGACTTGAAGATTATTGGGGACCTTGGAGATAACAAGTCTAATAGAGAAGGTAGTGAAGGATGCAAGGTGGGGGTGGAAGTAAACTGCAAAGTAAGCGGGGAGACTTCCTTTTACAGGGTGGATGGAACACAGGCGATGGTCTCCTCTCCCTTTTCAGCTTCCAACAAAAGCAATAAAAGAGTCATGCAAGCTATGTCTCCAGAACAAGGAGATAGGTGGAAGGAAACAATAGTAGCCTAGTGATGAGAAGAATTTGGAAGCTAGAAAGCAATAAGTCAAGGGTGATACACTCAGGAATTGCAGAAGGCCAGGTGGGGTAGAGGAGAGTGAGAATGTTGCTGATTGGTGCTGTAGAAGCTCATTCAAAGCAGTCGATTTGCCAGGTTTCCATGAAATGTTCACCTTTGGATAGATCCAAGTTACTTCTGCAGGTGGAGCTTCAAGATAGAACCAGAAACCAGATAGGTTGAAAGTCTTTATCAAAAGCCCCTTCTCCACTCCACAGAAAGCTCAAAGCCAAAGGGCTCAATGAGAATCTACTGCTGAATGGTGGTTCTTCCCACTAGTTCCCAGGACAATGGTAGTGCAACTTCTTCCCCCAGACAGGGGAGACTGAAGGGTTTTTCTATGGAGAAAATAACTGGTCCAAAAAGAAAGCTCTACCAATGCTAACCTTTGGGCGTTCTCCAGTGAGATTCCTGGACTCTGCCTGATCGTTTGTACAATAAAGCATCTGGTTGACAAGCATTGTCCTCCACAAGTGGAGCCCCTGGTTAGCCTTTTAGCACACCATTCTTAAATCAGATAAGGACCACTGTGCTAGTCAGCTCTTTGTCATTGTGATAAAAATACCTGAGGAGAACAAATTAGAGGAGGAAAAGTTTATTTTGGGCTCATGATTTCAGGGGTCTCAGACCATAGATGGCCGTCTCCATTGCTCTGGGTCTGAGGTCAGGCAGAACATAATGGCAGAAGGGCTTGGTTTAGTGGAGAGAGGTTTTCAGCTCATGGTAGCCCAAAAGGGGGGGGAGAGAGAGAGATCATGGAGAGAGAGAGAGAGAGAGAGAGAGATAGGTCATGGATTGAGAGAGAGAGAGAGAGAGAGATAGGTCATGGATCGAGAGAGAGAGAGAGAGAGAGAGAGAGAGAGAGAGAGAAGAGAGAGAGAGATATCATGGAGAGATAGATAGATAGATAGATAGATCATGGATCCAGGGACAAGACATAATCCCAGGACATACCCCCCGATGACCTCCTTCCTAAGCTATGCCCCACCTCTTTCAATTACTACCCAGGAATCCATTCAGATTATTAGCCCATCAAGTTGATTAATCCACTGATGAGTTTACAGTTCTTATCATCGCCTAAAAGCCCCACCTCTGCACCTTACTGTACTGGGTACCAGGTACCTAAAACATGTGCTTTTCAAGGGGACATTTCCAAATCCAAACCATAACAATCACTAAACGTTTAAAGAAAACCTCTTTAACAGAGCAGACACCAAAACAGTCAAGCAGATGGAAACTTGGGAAATTGATTGCATTGAACAAAACACAAAATATACTATAAGCTCCTTGAGTATCAAGAGAAGATATTGAGTTGAGTACAAGTTAAAGAATGGTTACTAACGTCTAGACGATCATTGTCCAATGCATGGAACAAGAAGAGGAATCTTGAAGAAGAGGAATCAGTGAAAAGTTATTGGAAATTAAAAGCATGAGATCAGAAAAAAAAATCTTAGACATCCAAATAAATGTTGAAAGATAAAGTTAAAGAATCCTCAGAAAGTAGGGGTAGGAAAAGGCCAGGCATGGTACATGCCTATAGACCTATCTGGTTGGGAGGCTGAGGTAGGTAGATCCTTTGAAGAGTTCAAGACCAGCCTAGGCAATAAACTGAGTGAAATTCCATCTCAAAACCAAAAACAATTTGAGAAAGTAGAAGAAAAAAGAAAGAAAATAGATAACAGGAGGGGAAAGATAAAGGAATTAGAGGAACCCTTTGTAAGGCTTAATAATTAATAGAAATTCCAGCAAGAGCATAGAGAAAATGGAGGGGAAGAAATCATCTATGACAGAATACAAGACAATTTCCTGGAACCAAAGGACCTAAGTTTTCAGATTAAAAGTTCATGCCTGGTGTCTGGTACAACTAAATAAAGTTGGCACTAGTATAAAATTTTAGAACACCAAGAAAACAGAGAAATTCCTAAAAGTTTTCAGAGTGGAGAAAACAGATTACATGAAAAAAAGTCAGGAATCAGAATGGATTCAGACTTCTCAACAAAAACCCTGGGAAGTAGAAGAAAATGGAGCCAAGCCATCAGAATTTTCAATGGAAAGGATTTACAACCCATGAACCAGTGCATAGTCAAATATCATCAAAGGGTGAAGGTAGAACACGTGTGGATTTAGATTTGCAAGTTCTTAAATATTTTAACCGTAGAGGCATCCATTTCTTAGGAAGTTGCCAAAGAATGTGCTTCTGCAAGTTGAAAGGGTAATTCAAGGAGGAGGGAGAAATGCAATCTAGGAAAATGGGAGTCCAGCTTATGAGAAGGGTGAAGCAAAGTCATAAGATGGTAATCGTTCAGAATGTTATGGCTAGATTGCAATAAATCACCTAGTTGATCTGAAGACAGGAGACAGAACCATCTTTATTCACCAAATGGCAATCTGGATTCATCAGCTGGTGGGCTGTAATGCCAGATTCATGGGACCCCAATAGACTTCCAGGAGCCAAATCCAATGCAATCACACAAGAGTCTTTATTGCAAGCTCGAGCCTGGACTCACAACCATTTCCGACACAGCGGTCCCAGGGAGTGAGTCCCGTCCTTTGTTCAGTGAGGATTTATAGTTTTTTGGGAGGGATACTCTATGCGTCACAACATCACACAGCAATCATTCCATACAGAGGGAAAATCAAACAACAACTCTTAACATTGATTATTAGCACATTCACTGGTGGGAACAAATTGGGTAGGGGTGATTGGATAATACAAGAGGGCCACGAGGGGTGTACGTGCTGAACTACATGGTTTCCCAGCATGTTATCAACCACCACAAACTACTGGGGGGTCATCTGGCATCCCAGATATTTTCCCTGTCTCATGCTGATTGGTGGTTGGTAGGGGGTTGCTATGGATCCTCACCTAGCCTGACTGAGTCAGGGACACCTGGCGCTGCAGATCTCTCCTGTTATTTACAGACAAACAACTCAGCAGGGTGGCTATCTGCCTAGAAAGGCTCTGTGGGTTTTTCCAAGGACAAGGGTCATGCTCCCTTCCTTGAGGTAGAAGCTGCTGTTATTTATTTATTTTCAAAAGTGGAGTCACATCAGTTTCTCAGGCCAAGGGGCAGGCTGCAAGTCTACACCCTTCAAACCCCTCTAAGGGTTAGAGTACACATTTATAGTTCCAAACCACATTAAATGTAAGTGGCTGTTGCTATGATTCAAGACCATAAATAAACATCATGAGATCTAAAATCATCAGCAGAATGGGAAGTGGGTCAAAACGACCCTAGTTGAGTACAGTTAAAGAATGGGTTATGAACTCCCATTTTTTCCCCGTATACAGATTGTTCATAACCCACTTGAATCAAATGTATGAAATATGATATGTCAAGAGCTATGTAATATTTTGAACAACTAATAATAATAATAAAAAAAGAAAATACCAGAAAGATGAGAGAGTGATTTCCAAGCCAGAGAGTGGAGGGGCATTCTGGGAGGAGAAAATAGAAAGAAAGAAAGAAAGAAAGAAAGAAAGAAAGAAAGAAAGAAAGAAAGAAGGAAAGAAGGAAAGGAAGAAAGGAAGAAAGAAAAAAAGAAAGAAAGAAAGAAAGAAAGAAAGAAAGAAAGAAAGAAAGAAAGAAGGAAGGAAGGAAGGAAGGAAGGAAGGAAGGAAGGAAGGAAGGAAGGAAGGAAAGAAAGAAAGAATGGTTACTAACGTCTAGACAATCATTGCCCAAGAAAAATGGGAACCCAAAAGAGAATAATTTCATATTGTATAAGAACTGCCATTTTGTGTTGCCAAACACACTAGACTAAGCAACCGTTGATGGGCACAGAGGTGGGGTGTTGCCATGGGAGAAGCATTTCTTACATGACATAGAGTCTCAGGGTAAAATGGAGTCTGTTTAGTCATTGCCTACATAGCCTGGCCCATAACAAGAAAACTAGAGAGCCAGAAAGGATTCTGGGAGAGATGCCTCCAAAGAGGAAACAAAATGGATTGGAACATATTCAGAGGATACTTAAGTTCCTGTCAGAAAGTTTGAGAAGTTAATAATAAATAAATAGAAAGTGAAACAATCATTACCATAACCATTTTGCTGTCTCTGTGTATCCCACAATACAGTGTAAACTTCAAATATACACAATAAAATGTACCTAAGAAAAATAAGAGTCATTTTACAGAAAGGAAAACTGATAGTTTTACAACCAATACATTATGAATTTACAATTCGAATACCAAACTGCTCATTCTGAACTCATTATGTACTATGTGGTTTTCCTACTATAATCAGTTATCTTTTACTTAAAGTGCTTAGTAAAAAAAAAATGGAATATTGTAAGAAATTTATTATAGCATAGTATACTACATGATTCAGGTACAAATGATATTTACAAATTTACAAAAATATGACTAGACAATAAGTCCTTATTTAATGAAAAGATGATGCAAATATATTGGGAGATGGAAGGATCATGTTGTTTGAGTTGGTTAAAAGCAAATCATGCCAGATGTGGTGGCACATTCCTATAATTCCAGCTACTCAGGGGTCTGAGACAGGAGGATCACCAATTTGAGGCCAGCCTGGGCAACTTACTGAGAACTTGTCTCAAAATAAGAAATTAAAAAGGCTGAAGATGCACCTCAGTGGTAAAGTATCCTGGGTTCAATCTGCAGTACATTTAAAAACAAACAAAACCAAAACAATCTCCCCCCCAAAAAAAAAAAATCCCAAAAACAAAACAAAGAAAAGAAAATCATGGTATTTCAACATAGGAAATCAATAGATTCAATATTAAACTAATAATGTATAAATATCAGTGTAAGCAAATGCTAGAAGAAATAATAAAAGTGTTTAACTTGGTTGCTCCCTGAGAGTGGGAGTAGGTGGGGATGGGTCAGAGAATTGTAATTTGTGATACTTGTTGGACTTTTCAAGCAATATATATTTATATCCTTGATACAATGAAAAGTTATTCCAAACAGTGGGCATTGAAGAATTAGTGTAGAATGATAAATCTGATGTTTAACGTGGGAAGACCTGTCTTCCTTTCTGTTAATAAGCATCTGTAACGATAAAAAAAAATGCTCCAAGAAGCACTAAGAAGAAATGAACATGTCTGAGGTGGTTTCTCAATAGTCCTCTAGGTTCGAAGTCAGTGGTTGGCTGGGGCTGGGGTGCAGCTCAGTGGCAGAGCGCTTGCCTATTGTCTCACATGCGCAGTCCAGGGTTCCATCTCTGCAAAAGCAGAAAAGCTCACAGCAGAGAGAAATATGCAAGAGAAATATACTATCCACTGTAGGGGGAAAGAAGAAAAGTGATCTTTTGAGAGTCCATTAACCCTGGCGTAACTTCTCTGTGTGCTTCAGAACAGAGACTCGAGGAAGTCAGGTTCTGGAAGAAGGAGTTAGATGACAAACTTGAGCAGCTTGTGAATGAAACTGATGATCTACTCAATTATAAGATACGAGTGGAAAAATCCCTGGAGAGCTTTAAAGAGCCCTTGTTCATCACCGAGAGGTGCCTGGCTTACAGGTAGGAGGGGAGTTTCCTCAATGAGTCTTCTGCTCTGGGAAGCGCCATGCTAGGTAGCAAGAGCTGATTGTGCCAGGTGGTGGGTGAGAGTGATGCAGATGAGCAGGTGTTCCTTTAGCACCTGCAGTTGCCCATGGTGCTGGGCAGTGGGAGAAGTATATTGGGTTTGGTTCATGTCTAAATTCTGCTCTTAAATAACTTATTATAAGTTAGGGCTAAATTTGGTTGTGAATATCAGAAAACTGTAAAATGACATTAAACTCAAACAAAAATAATTTCTGTCTTACATTTAAGTGGTGTAGAGGTGGTCCGTTCAAGTTGGGATGATATGCCACAGTTTGAAGGTTCCAGGCTTTTTTTTTTTCTATATTGTTGTTTCTCTGCCCATGGCCTTAATTCCCCCAGATTATTTAATGATTTAAGATGGCAGTTGGAGATCCAGCCATCATATCTACACTCTCCAGCAGGTAGGAATAAGTAGGATTTGGCATTCACCATTTCTCCTTGCATGCCACTGACCAGAACTTAATCACACGGGCACACCAGTAAAAGCTAAGAAGTGATTGTATTTATTTCAGGCAACCAGGTGCTTAGTTAAAAAAAATTTAGGGGTTCTATTGCCAAAGTGAGTACAGATATTATAGCTCTCGAGAGACAATAAATCTGCCTGTGATCCAGGGAGCCACACAGAGGCACTTTGTAATACAGAGATCACTATACATGCATACCTTTTTATTATTATTTTTTTCTTCTGTAAACCTGAGTCAGATGATCCTCTGACTCTGGGGAGATGCCGATTTCCAGACCTGTTCCCTGTTGGCAGCCCTAGCTGGAGCACCCCGATAGGCCTTCTAGCTGTGAGGATAGCCCGGTCAATCTAGCATATCCTCCACACTGGCTACCGAGTGACTTTTTCCAAATGCAGGTTTGTATAAGTCACCCCCATGCTTCAAACCTTTTAATTAGAATCCCAGGCCCTAAAGGCTTCAAGATAAAGCTCACGCTTCTTATCACAGCAAACAAATGGCGATGGGGTCCCCAATGACCTCTCCAGGCCACAGTAGGGGCTTAGGAGTGCTGAGCATTTGCAGTTTCCCAAATGTACCGTTCCCTGTTCCCTTCATGATCCAGGTCTGTGCAGCAACAAGGCAGCAATTCCCCCCCCCCCCCAGCCAGATTTAGAGGCATGTGAAACAAAGGTGAGTGGCAGCTGACCAATTTGCTCAAGCCCACACCCAATTTGCTCATGTCTAATCCTAATGATAATTTAGAGGCTGTTAAATTTATTTAGGATGTACTTACTATGTGCCAGGGACTGTACCGTAAACTTTTTATCTCATTTGCTCCTTGACATACCCCCACAAAGTACTCATAGTTATCCCCATTTTACAGAAGAGGAAACCAAGGCACAGATGAGTTATGTAATGTGCCTCAGGACACACAGCCAGTGGTCAGGAGAGCTTTCCTTCCAGCCATGATCATGCAAGATAGAAAAGAATAAAGCATGGAGTAGGTTTGGGGAATGAAATAGCACGGTGATTGAAAGCATGTATAATACCCAGTTTGTGCCACTGGGTAAGTTACTTAACCTGTCTGAGACTCAGTTTTCCTGATCTGTACTTGAAAAGGTTAAGCAGGARTATTTATATAAAAACCCAGTGCCTGTCACTGTGCTCCATGCTCACTGCGGTAATATTGAATATAAACTCAGTGTTATAATAATATTTATTAAAAGAAAATATCTCACTAAATTCAATTCCTCGTCAAAGATGAGGATCAAGGAAGGAAACACATGTCGGAAATTCTAAGTCAAAAGACAATGTTCTCTCCATGTGTGCTGGCCACGCCTGTAATCCCAGTGACTCAGGAGGCTGAGGCAGGAGGATCACAAGTTTAAAGCCAGCCTCACCAATTTAGTGAGACCCTCAGCAACTTCATGAGATCATGTCTCAAAAAAAAAAAAATTTGAGGATGTACCTCAGTGATAAAGTGCCCCTGGGTTAGATCTCCTGTACTCCTCCCCGAAAAGACAATATTTCCATTGAATAGGTAAAAGGATGAGGCTTCAGGATCAATGGCCAAATTAAGGGGGGAAAAGTCCATTTGACATTTTTCAGACCCAGTGACCAGTCCCCATTCAATTGTCTTTCCTTGGGTTTTGGGTATTTTGAAGTGGGACAGACACCAACTATTGTCCATCTTCAAGTGTGTCACCCGGAAGGATCTGGTTGTCCAGGTACCTTTACAGGTCCTGATGTGGGCAGATACCAAACTGTCCCTGCATGCATTGGCTGACCAGCCTCTCCCCCTGGCCAGGGAGAAGCGTGTGGGCATCGACCTGGTGAATGACGAAGTGGACCAGGAGTTGCAGAAGGAGGCGGAGATCATCCGGGGTGTCATGGCCCTGCTGACCCGTACTCTTGAGGAGATAACAGAGCAAATTAGGTATCGCCTTCTGGGCCTGCCCTCCAAGTCTCCACTGTGAATTTCGAGAACAAGTGGTGCCCATCAAGGCTGGTTCCAGAGGAGTGGGGTTTACCACTCCCCCCTGGGGTGGTGGGGGAGGGTGGGCTGGTTTCACTGGTGGTGATGAACTAGGGGACACTGGAGCCCACTGCTGCCAGGCCTGACCCCTTATATAAAAAAATTGTCACCGTGGAAGGGAAGATCTTGAAGTCCAGGTTTGGTTATGTCAAGCCACCAATCATCAAATGGCCATGTGGGTGTGTGTTGGTGGGATGGGGAGGTGGGGATGGAAGTGTGGCCACCCTGCCGCAGACCTGGTCCCAAGAAGCTGTAGGTGCCATTGGGCTTTCCAGAGGGAGAAACCCAGCTTATTCTCTCCCTTCAGGCTGAACCGTTCTGCCAAGTACAATCTGGAAAGGGATCTGAAGGACAAGTTTGTGGCTTTGACCATTGATGACATCTGCTTCTCACTCAACAATAACTCACCAAACATCAGATATTCTGAAAACGTCCTGAGGATCGAACCCAAGTAAGTGAGGCCCTGATGCTGGCCTGGTCCCTGCTGGTCATGTCCCAGACCCCTTCAGTCAGGCAGGACTTGACCAGAGTGGAAATATTTACAAAGCATCCTACCGACAGCCAGGAGCTGAGGAGAGGCAGGCTCAGGGCAAAGATGGGCACTGACCAGTGCCCACCCAGACACAGTGCCCAGAGGCTCCTCTCTCTGAAAAAGTCTGCTGTTACACCTTCTTTTACCTATTTATGTTTTTAAAAGTAAAAGATCCTAAAAACATAAAAGGTGAGTTAATAATTTTCCTCTACCTTTCTTTTTTCATCTTCTATCCTCCAAGATAAACAGTGTTACCTGTGGGCTCATGCAAACAGTTGTATGCACACTCACCCACACAAATATATTTTGTTTAGTTTGCAAGGATGAAAATATACTACATACCTCTTCTGTAACATCTTACTTGCAATTTTCAATTAATATTAGATCACAGACCTAACTCATTCTAATTTTAAAAAAATCACTTTGAAATAACTATACATACAGAAAAGTGCACAATACTGTACAGTTAAGTGGATTGTATTATAACAATACAATAATCTCTTTTTCTGTATAACAGTTTACTCCAAAATTTAGCAGCTTGAAACAATAAACATTTTTCCCCCCCATGGTTTCAGTGGGTTGAAAGCTGAGGCACTGCTTAGCTGGGTTGAGGTCAAGCTGGCTGGTGGGGCTGCAGCCCATCTAAGGTCCACTTCCAAGATGACTTGTGATGGCAGACCTGGGTTCCTTCCACACAAATTTCTCATGAGATGACAGTCTCATGACATGACAGCGGGCTTCTCCCACATTGAGTGATCTAAAAGAAAAAAGAGAGGGAGGGGGCCAGGGTTGTGGCTCAGTGGCACAGCGCTTGCCTAGCATGCATGAGGCACTGAATTCGATCCCTGGCGCCAAATAACAACAAATAAAATAAAGGTATTGTGTCCATCTACAACTCAAAAAATAAAGAGGGAGGTGGAGGGAGAGGGAGAGAACCCAATACAGAGGCCACAGTCCTTTTTATACCCTAACCCCAGGGCTGACATCTCATCTTTCTACTTGTGAGAAACAAGCCAGGTTCCTCCCATACTCCAGGTGAGGAGACTACACAAAGATGGGACCAGGAGGCAGGGATCACTGGGGATCAGCTCAGAGACTGCCTCCAATCACAAAGTAGACAATCCTCATGTAACCAACAACCAGGGCAAGAAAGAAAACATCTCTACCCCTTCACTACCACAGAAACCCTTCTAGTCCTCTTCTGATCAATACTTTTATCTTTTCCCTAAATATAGCCACCCTCCTCTCTTCTAAAAGGTTTGTTTTGACTGCTTTTTATTACACAGCATCATATATATATACTCCATATCTATTTTCTTGCAATTAACTTTGAGATTCGTAAATGCCGTCAAAGTTCCTCATCAAACTAGCAATCATTTCTCCCTTCTCTTCCTCTGCCCCCTCCTCCTCCCCCTCCTCCTCCTCCTCCTCCTCCTCCTCTTCTTTCTTTTTGTATTTGTATGGGTTCACGGTTTCCTATGTTATCTAGTTTGTTACAACCCATTACTATTTATTATTCTGATGCTCAATTTGTTCTTAGCCGTGTGATCTAGACCAAGTTATTTCATTTTTCCAAGACTTAGTTTGCTTCCTCTGTAAAAAAGGGTTATAAAAGTTAGCTCACTAGGCTGTTATGAGGATTAAATGAGGCAATGTCTATAAGATGCCTGTCCAGTGGGAAGTTTCCCAAAGATATTGCTATTGACAGACCGCTGTTCTCTCTCCCTGGAGACAGGAAGAACATGCTAGGTGCTTCTGCTGGTGAAGGTAGACTTAACTTCCAGAGCATTTCCTGGGCTCGGGCCCCTCCCCGCCCCTCTTCCCCGGTCCAGACGTGCTGTGAATGGTTGAGTGTGTGGGTTGGTTTCAGCTCGGTGAGTCTGGAAGACTGGTTGGACTTCTCCAACACCAACGTGGAGAAGGCTGACAAGCAGAGGAACAATTCCCTGGCCCTGAAGGCCCTGGTGGACAGCATCCTGTCCCAGACGACCAGCGACCTGCGCAAGCAGTGTGAGGTGGTGGACTTGGCATTTGAGAWCGGGCTGAAGGTGATCAAGGATGCCAGGGACAAGCTGGCTACTCATCTGGCCAAGGTGAGGCCCCTGGGGGTGGGGGACAGAGAAGAGTGGGTTTGGGAGTTTTGCCTTGGAATCATAAAGGCCATCTGGGCTGGGCCACTGTCATCCTGGTGTACGTCATGAAATAGGGTCATTTGCATCTCTTCATCTTAGCAGCAGGCTTTGGGTTTGGGGGGACTGGAGTACGACCTTCCCCCACTCTGGGTTTCCACTGTCAAAAAGCAGAGATACGAAGAATACAGCACAGAGGCAGGAGATGGGAGGCTTGGGGGTCCGGCTGGCTCTCTGACATCCCAGGCTTCAGCCCTTTTTATGTGACATGGAGATATGAGCTGCCTGGTCTCAGACATCTTTTATGACTCTGAACTCCCATGAGTTGATGCTACCGGTTTCTCCCAACCCAGTTGTCACTCTGGGCCTCTGGCCAGTTGTCCCTCCCATTATCTAGGTGTGCTCGTAAACTAGCTTTTGGGGTTGGGGGCAGGAGGGGAAAAAGGCTCTGAGTTGTGGAATTTGCAGATTTCCATGGTGTAAATATTTCCACTGTGGTCAGTTTTGAGCTACCTATTTAACAATGGGCGGGCAGAGTTGCTGAATACCTAACAACCAGGCTCCAGCACAACTTCCTTACCATCCCATCCTGGATCCTGATGACCAGCACCCCTGACCCGCACCCCAGGCTAAGCCATCTAGAGGAATGGTGCTATATTTGGTCCAAATGTAAGAGATGGGGGCCAAACTCCAGTCTGGTGATAGCTAGCTGGGTTCCTTTAGCAGACACCTCAAGCTTTCTGAGCCCCTTGCCTCAACTCCAACACGGGAGTTGGGGCTCTGCATATTCCAGAGAAACAGAGTCTAGGGAACCCGAGTCCAACACAGTGCAAGCCGTACACGTCATTTTACATTTTCAAGTAGCCACTTTTTAAAAAAAGCAAAAAGAAACAGGTAAAATCAATTGTTATGTTTTATTTAACCTGCTATGTAAAAAAACCCCAAACAAAACCCTTTTACTTCAACATATCATCAACATAACAAGTGATATATATTAATTTGGGGGGGAGTAGGGCGGGGAGTGCTGGAGTTTTAGCCCTGGGGCTCTTTACCACTGATCTACTTCCTCAGAACTTTTTAGCTTTTGAGACAGGATCTTGCTAAGTTGCTGAGGGTCTCACTAAAGTTGCTGAAACCGGCCTTGAACTTTTGATGCTCCTGCCTCAGCCTCCCAAGTCACTGGGATTTCAGACATGCACCACTGTGCCTGGTTATTTTACCTTTTTTTTTTTTTWAAACCAAGAGGTGTATAGCCATCCCTTGATATTTGTAGGGACTTATTGCAGGACCTTCCTTGCATACCAAAATTTGTGGATGCTGAGTGGTTTTATATAAAAATGGTATAGTATTTGCAGCTAATATACATACATCTTCCCATACACTTCAGTTCATCTCCAGATAATTTATAATCTATAGTGGTATAATACAATGTAAATAGCCGTTACACTGTATGGTTTATGGGATAATGACAAGAAAAAAAGTCTGTATGTACTCAGTATAGACATGATTGTTTTCCAAATATTTTCTATCCATGGCTGGTTGAAATTGGTAGATGCAGAACCTGAGGATGCAGAGGACTGCCATTTGACACTAACAGCACAGCTCAGTTAGGGTTAGGCACATGTCATACGCTCAGTGGTCACATGTGACCAGTGGCTGCTAGGTTAGTCTTCACTGTGGAAGGGTGTAAGAAGGTTCATATAAGAGGGATGGGCTTAGAGACTGTGGGCATCAAAATTTAATCCGAAATCATTTTAATATTCAGAACAGTTGTGGTGTAAGAGAAAGAATATATATAATATATGTATATACATACATACATATATATATATATATATGTATACATACACACACACACACACACACACACACACACACTTTTTTTTTTAAAGTTGGATTTCATCAAATGCAAAGGCCTGAGGAGTTAACAGGGGAAATCACTTAGGCCTCCTAAGAGCTAAAATATTCAAGATCCAACTAAGAGACTTAGCTACCTGGAGGGGGTGGCATTGTTATGTGAACTGAAGGATTAGGGAATGTGTGCTTTGAATAACTCTGAGGCCCTTCACCCTTATTTGGAGGCCACCAACCTAGGTTTTATAAGAAAAGAGTCTGCCTGGCTGTCATCTTGCTAGAAGCCTTCTTGGTCACGGGGGACTCACCAAGCTCAAAAGAAGACCTCCAAATTAAACACAGAATAACCTTCACTTTGTTTGTAATGACACAATTGTTTTCTTATAGGGCAAAACGTATTTTAACCTCAGATTTACAATTAAGTCTAGAATTTTTTTTTCTTTTTGGGGTACTGGAGATTAAACTCAAGGCCTTGTCCATGAGAGGCAGGTACTCTACCATCTCAGCTATATTCCCAGCCCTAGTCTAGGAATTTTTAAGATAATGTAGCACAGAGGTAGCCAACTGTTTTGATGAAAAGGTCAAGTTGGAAGTATTTTAGGCTTTATGGGAAAAGAGGAAAAAAATAAAGGATATTATGTTGATATTTAGTAAGAAAGAAAACAAATTTCCACAAATTCACTTGTGAAATTCAAAATAGAGTAGTAATAATGACACAAACACAAACATATAGTAATACAGGTCTACTAAGAGGAAGAAGGGAATTATGTTTTAGAGAGAAATGTAACATATTGCTTTGTTGGGATTCAAAGTTAATGTTTTCTATAAATTCGTTTGCAAATATTCATCTGTTAATGTTGATCTGTAGTGAGACTTTACATAATCCATCTCTGAAAATGTCTTTGCATTCAGATAGGTACTGCCAATTTATGCTAACAAGTTGTGAGCATATGATTTTAATTGAACATATTCATTACTTGGAAGGCATTTATAGAATGCTGTGAGAGTCTTCTGGTGTTTGCTTTTTAGCATATCATTCATTACCTTTCAGATTAATCACTTCCCATTGAAGATGAGGTAGAAGCTCCTTAACTGAACAAGTTAAGTGGATTTTGAAGTATGAAATTTCCTTTAGACTTGCTGTGAGGTCCAAGAAAACAACACTGGAACTTGGAGAATATTTGTTGCAGATTTCTGTGGGAGTAGTGGTCTTGCTTCTTGTTTTAACATTTGCTAGCACAGGAAATGCATAAAGCAGGACATCATTTGTAATTAAAATCATGGTTAGTTTTTGAAATGACTTAGGTTGGAATTCTCAAGAAATATGAAGTCTATGGCAAAAGCTAATTGAGGGATCTTTTTTAAAAAAATTTTTTAGGGTGATTTTTTTTTTAAATGTCAATCTTGGTCCTGAGCTAAAATTAATCATAAGAAAATCTTACCACTACTGAGACACTGAATTACTGAGTGGTAGGACATACTAGGATATTCAACGTCTGTTTCTGACAAAAATTCACAGAAATATAATGGTTGAGAGCTAATGAAGTTCACTGTTGTGGATGCTGGCTCAATATCACAGGATAGATCCAAATATTTTCTTTCTTTTTTTCTTTTTTTCATTTTTTCTTTTTCTTTTTTTTATTGTTGGTTGTTCAAAACATTACATAGTTCTTGATATATCATATTTCACACTTTGATTCAAGTGGGTTATGAACTCCCATTTTTACCCCGTATACAGATTGCAGAATCACATCAGTTACACTTCCATTGATTTACATATTGACATACTCATGTCTGTTGTATTCTGCTGCCTTTCCTATCTTCTATCCCCCCTCCCCTCCCCTCCCCTCCACTCTTCTCTCTCTACCCCCTCTACTGTAATTCATTTCTCCCCCTTGTATTATTTTCCCCTTTCCCCTCACTTCCTCTTGTATGTAATTTTGTATAACCCTGAGGGTCTCCTTCCATTTCCATGCAATTTCCCTTCTCACTCCCTTTCCCTCCCACCTCTCATCCCTGTTTAATGTTAGTCTTCTTCTCATGCTTTTCTTCCCTACTCTGTTCTTAGTTACTCTCCTTATATCAAAGAAGACATTTGGCATTTGGTTTTTAGGGATTGGCTAACTTCACTTAGTATAATCTGCTCTAATGCCATCCATTTCCCTCCAAATTCTATGATTTTGTCATTTTTTAATGCAGAGTAATACTCCATTGTGTATAAATGCCACATTTTTTTTTATCCATTCATCTATTGAAGGGCATCTGGGTTGGTTCCACAGTCTTGCTATTGTGAATTGTGCTGCTATGAACATCGATGTAGCAGTGTCCCTGTAGCATGCTCTTTTTAGGCCTTTAGGGAATAGACCGAGAAGGGGAATAGCTGGGTCAAATGGTGGTTCCATTCCCAGCTTTCCAAGAAATCTCCATACTGCTTTCCAAATTGGCTGCACAAATATTTTCTTAGAAGTTCCTTCTGATGAATAATAAATACAATGATAGGCTCTAAATAACGTATTTTTCGCACGCTCTATAAATTTGTTCAGTCAAGCCTTTTTCTGTTCAACACCACTTCTTAGCAGATTCCACTTCATGTTGTATTTAATAAGCATTTTCTCTACTTTTTGGAAATACTTATGTCATGCAGAATATATTCATAGAGCTATTTATCTAGTTACTTCAAACTCAGCATTGACTCCTTGAATAAAGGTCACTAGGCAGTGTCAGAACACCTGTCAACTCATTGAGGAGAACCATCTCTAAATGACTTGCCTTTTTTCTTAATTGATTATTAATCTACTCCCTATGCCCTCAACACTTTGCAATCGTTCTATAGAAAGACTAATGGTCTCAAATAAGTTTATATTCTCTGGACACATTTCCTTAGTCACTGCAGTCAAACATAATTTCATTAGCTAGCAAATGACTTTCCTTGCCTGCCTAACGAATGAGCCATTGGGAACTTTAATTTGATTGCAGCCTCATTTTCATTTTTGAGATGCTCTGCAGTGATGAGATACTCTATTTTAAAATTTTCTAATTTTTCTGATCATTGCTTTCTTGTGAGTTGAGATTATTGCGATCAATGCTTAGTCTGAAAACTTATTGTACTTTTTCGGTACAGCTACAGTGTCATCGGCTAATACATGCACTGATTTGACATCTAATTCATTAACAAAACCTATATGCTCCACTGGGCCATTAAAATGCATCRCATGAAGCCCAATTTTCTTGTTTTAACATGATGGGTATGCTCTGTGCTATGGTTTGACTGTTTAATGACCCTTCCAAAATTTATTTTGAAACTCAATCTCAATCAACAGTGTTAAAAGATGGAACTTCAGGAGCGATCCTAATGGATGGGATGAAAGCCTTAATAAAGAGCCAGATGGAACTAGTAAGGCCTTTTTGCTCTTCTGCCATCCACATGGGTGGGTGGTCATTCATCTCCTCTTAAGGTCTTTGCAACAGGGTACCATTTTGAAACAGAGAAAGTAGCCCTCAACAGAACACTGAATCTGCTGGTGCCTTGACCTTGAACTCCCTAGCTCCAGAATTACGAGAACCGAATTTCTGTTCTTTATAAATTATCCAGTTTCAGGTATTTTAAAAACAGCAGCAGGAATGGACTAAGACATACTGGAAATAAAACAAGAAAACAAGATGTCATGATATGTGTGGTGATACGTGGCTGGAAAGCTCTCAAGTTACATCCATGTCACTGTGATTTGCAGTCCTCTGGGCAACAGTGCAAAGCAACCACATACAGTCTGTTGCAACCCCTTGGCTCTGCCACTGCAGTTCAAAAGCAGACAGAAATAAACGCGTGAGCATGGCTGGGTTCCAATACCACTTTATTTATTGACACTGAAAACTGAGCTTTATGTAATTTCCACATGACATGAAATATTCTGCTTCTGATCGTTTCAACCATTTATAAATGTAAAACTTCTAAGTGAATAAAAAATAAGCCACAGTCTCAGGTGAAATATTTTCAGGGAACCTATCTGATAAAGGACTGTTATCCAAAATATACAAAGGACTCTTAAAACTCAACAATAAGGAAAGAAACAGCTAAAAATGGGCAAAAGATCTGGACAGACACCTTTGCGACAAAGATACAGCAGTGGCAATTAAGCATATGAAATATGTTCAACATCATATGCCATTAGGAAATTGCAAATTGAAAAAAAAACAATAAGATACCTCTATATGCCTATAGAAAACTCCAAAATATGGAGTAAACATGAAATGCTGTTGAGGGTTTGGGGCAATAGCAACTCTTGTGCAGTCCTGGTGGGAATTCAAAATGGGACAGCTGCTTTGATAGACAGTTTGGCTTCTTCTTACAAAACAAAACATACTCTTACATTATCAATCTCATGTCTTAAATATTTGCCCAGAAGAGTTGAAAATTTACGTCCACACAAATTGCTGTACATGTTAGTAGCAGCTTTTTTTTTTTTTTTTTTGGCTTTTACTGGTGCATTATAACTGTATATAATAGTTGGGTTCGTTTTGACATAATCATGCATGCTTGGAATTTTATTTATTCCATTTCAGTCCCCAGTGCCCCTGCTTTCCCTCCCTTCCCCCCTACCCCTTTTTCCTTCTACTTTAATGGTCTACTTTCCACTCATTTATATATATATATATATATATATATATATATATATATAAATATAATTCACTGTGGTATATTTATACATGCACATCACATAATTTTGTCAAATTCTGTATTTCCTCCCCTTTCCTGTACTTCCTCCTTCCCCCTCAATCTCCTTCTATCTTAGAAATATTCACTCATGTATCTGAGACTGAAATGACATATGATCTGGGATTTGCTTTAAAATAATTAAGCTGATGGATGGAGGACCTGGGGAGAAGGAGATATGGATGAAACAAGACTGGCTATCTATTGATTCCTTTTTATATTGATATGGGTACATGAGACTCATTAGTCTATTTACCTTGGTGTATGTTTGGAAATTTCCATGGGGGTACAAAGTTAAAAACAAAACAAAACAAACAAACTAACTCAAGGAAGAAATGCATTTTTTTTTTCTTGGTGGTACTGGGTCTTTGGGCATGCTAGGCACATGCTCTAACACTGAGCAACATTCCCAGCTATAACTAAATAGTATTCTTTTATATATATATATATATATATATATATATATATATATATATAGTTTTGTTGTAGTTGACACATACTTTTATTTTATTCACTTGTTTTTATGTGGTGCTGAGGATCGAACCCAGGGCCCCGTATGTGCTAGGCGAACGCTCTACCGCTGAGCCACAACCCCAGCCCCACTAAATAGTATTCTTAAAAAACCAAGTAACTTGTGAGTGATGTTTCTGTGCACAAAGCCACTCTCAAGAACGCTGACAAAGTTCAGGTGGCTCTGTCACACTCTCTCCCCAGGCCTCAGGAAGACAGAACCTGGGGGGGAGTTCATAGGAAACAGTCTCTGTTCCTATCTGAAGGTGCTTTGTATCCAGGTAGTGAGGCCTGAGCAGGCCTGGCCTTTGCTGAGGGCCTTCTCTGGGGGTGGAAGCTGTTTACATCACACCGTTGGGCTATGAGGTGACAATGGTGAGGTTCTAAGGTCAGATGAGAACCTCGCCCAGCAGCAATCATTGCTTTGGGGAAGAGAGATCAGCCTTATTTTGGGGTTCTGCTCAGACAGAAATCTGAGTTCCCTTCTCCCTAACCCACATAATCACAACAGGTCTGGCTGTGCGCTGTTGAGTTTTGGGGAGTAATAACCTGGCCTAATTCTTTCCATAAGGTCATGGAAGAGATTGCTTCCCAGGAGAAAAACATTGCACTTCTTGAAAAAGCCATCCTTGATCAAGAGGGGCCTGCCAAAGTGGCACACACACGCCTGGAGAACAGGACCTACCGGCCTAACGTGGAGCTGTGTCGTGATGTTGCTCAGTACCGACTCCTCAAGGAGGTTCAGGAGATCAACCATAATGTTGCACGGTAGGGCAGCAGCCAGGGGCAGAGAGGCCCAGAGTGCCACCCAATCTGGATTGGAACCCTAACCTGGATGGCAAGCAGGGACCAGCCAGTGGCCTTACAGGGAGAAACCTGCTCTGTATCAGAGGTTTCCTTCCTCTACTAACTCCAGCCAAAATTGTTGCCATATGGGAAATGGATCCCCATGTTGAGATTTTTTTTCCAAATCCAGATGTTTAGGTAAAATCTGCGGTTTTAAATATTGGCATTTTTATGGAAAAGTCATGAATCTGGCCTAAGGCCACCAATCAGAAATATTTATTCCAAAGAGAGAGGGAAGGGAAGAGCACATACTAATTTGGCTCCTAGTTGGATACCCAGACCCCCCCCCCCCAAAAAAAAAAACCCAAACAAACAAACAAACAAAACAAAACAAACAAACAAAAAACAAACAAAGATGCAGAAAGAGAAATCATTCCTTTGTGTTCTCCTTCCTGCAGATTAAAGGAAACCTTGGCCCAAGCTCATGTGGAGCTGAAGGGGCTGCATCGCAGACAGCTTGCCCTGCAGGAGGAAATCCAGGTGAAAGAGAACACCATCTACATAGATGAAGTGCTGTGCATGCAGATGAGGAAGTCCATTCCGCCCCGGGAAGGCGATGAACTCTCGGGCTGGTCCGGGGGCAGCTGCCCTGAGGCCGTCTGCTAATAGTAGGGACAGTTCAGATTTTCATTAAACGACATCATTAAACATTATAAAGAACTCTGATTTCAGGTCGGCTGCGAAACTTGAGTCAGCCTGCCACAATTTCTGGGGAGGTGGGGGAGGGATTCCAGCTTCCTTGTGGGGCGGAGAGGCTGGGGGTGAGATGGTGGTGGGGGATTTGGTGGGTGGCGAGGTTCAATTCTGCCGCTGCTGGCGTGGTGGGTGCTTAGCAGTTCAATGCTAGGCGCAGGCCGCTGATAGTATCACGGGACTCAGGGTGGGGGAGGGGAGTTCAAGATGTTTTAATTGAGGTTCATTTTAATAGAGTGGCTGGGCTGGATCCCCTATCCGGGCAGGTCCCTCTTACTCAGGAGATGGGTTGCTACTATTTCTCTTGGCTCTCAAAATCCCTTTTCCCTAGAAAGCCATGTAGTGATTGCTGACCTAACCCCTCCTGGCTGGTCAGTGGAAAGTCTACTCAAAACTTAGGTGAATGAGAGCAGTCCTGGATCTGGAGCCCGCCTGAATGAAATGAAAAGGGATTAGGGACACGGGACCTTCCAGGCTTTAAAAATTAGATCTAGGATGAAGAAGGGAGGAGCCAGGTTGCTGAGGTTCTGGGGTCATGGGTAAAAGAGTGGGACGTCTCTGGGCTAGGAAGCCAGGACCCCTCTGCACATCTGCTGCGGGATGGGCGGCGCTTGGCTTGTGCACCGACCTGTGGATTGCGGGTTTGGAAAAGAACCACAACTGTTCCTGGGCTCTGGAGGCGTCTTCTACTGGTAAAGCGTGTCCTTTAGCGCCCCCACGCGGCAAGGAATTATATACATACGTTCTTTTTAAGAGTGTGTTTGGTGTTGGTTTTCCAGACCAATTAATAATCATTGGGAGTATATTTTCCCCTATAAATAATCAAGTAATAATAAAAGAAAGGAAAAAAAACCCTCCAAATTCTTGTTACTGCTACACCTTCAAATCTGTGGTTAAGAGTGTAGATTCTGGGACTGGGTGTGTAGTACAGTGGTAGAGTGCTTGTTTGGTACATGTGGAGGCCCTGGATGTCCTCTCTAGCACCAAAACAAAACCAAACCATTAAAGGTTCTGGAGCCAGAAATCCCTGAGAAATCCCTGTGGCACCTACCTCATAGGGCTACCGGAGGATTGAATGAAATAATCCACGTGAAGGGCTTCATGCAGGGGCTGTGTCATATGGACAAGGGATCAATAAATATGAGCCACTGGAAACAGTTCCTACCCTATACCAGCATGCTTTCTGCACAGTTATTCTCATGGCATAGTCTCAACTTTGTATAATTATTTTCTTCCTTAATTGTATGTTGCAAGCAGTTTTCCATGTTGCTATGTCATTATTTTAATGCTTACATACTTCTTTAAAAGTTTCCACTAAGCTTATTTCCATATACTCACTGTTTCTTTAGCTCTGCTTATAGCCAACTGTCTTCTGCTGAGCACAGCAGCTCAGGAACGTGGCTGGGTGGTTGACAAAGGAAGACCTTTCGTTGTTGGCAATTGCTTATTCATTATTTTTTTTAAATTTTTTTTAGTTGTTGATAGACCTTTATTTTTATTTATATGTGATGCTGAAAATCGAACCTAGTGCCTCACATATGCCAAGCAAGTGCGCTACTGCTGAGCCACAGCCCCTGCTCATTCATTCTTCCCATAGCAAAAGAGCACTTTCCAAGAATGAAGCTCTCTATCAGTGCCTTGTGTGGAGCTGTTCCTATACTCTGTGCCAACGTTTAGTTGCTAGTGCCTATTGGACACTTGGTGATGAGAGCACAGCACCAGCTGGAAGTCAGGAAATCAAAATTCTAGTCTCTACACTTCCAGGAAAGTCCCTCCCTCTCATAGAGTTATCTGTAGTGTAAGAGGATTAGACTAGATGGTGCAGAACCCTTTCCATATCTGATGTTCCCTAAATCTGGCTGCCTAGCTCTAGGTGTGCTGTTGTGGGACACAAGGACAATGTAGGATGTGAACCTAACACCTGGGAGGTTAGGAATCTAAGCGTCCACTGATCCCATTTTAGAATCTAAGTGTCCATTGCTGTCAGCAAGGAGTATTCCCAACCTGGGGTGGAGAAATCCTCTCTGAAGCCAAGAGCATGGGCTTCATGCTGATCTGTGCCATCTTGGTTCTGCACAAAAACCTCTCAGGGTGCTGAGCAAATGGGCAGCCCTGCCCATGTCCTGAGCAAGACGGGAACCCCATCTTTGCCCTTGGGAAGTCTCTGGGTGCTCTTCTGCTCAGGCATGGAAGGATCCAAATATCCCTCCTCAGTTTGGAGAAAAGATCTCAGAATTTGTGCTAACTCAGTGTGGCTTGTGAGCCTGCCCCAATGGATGTAGCCCTCAAGGTTCTAGGGGAGACTCCTCCTCTTGAATATAGCTCTGAGGGCCTGGCAGGCTCCGAGGTTAGTTTAGTTCACAGGTTCTGTAATGAGACATGGTTCAGAATAGCTCCATCACCTGTGGTGGATCCAGAACAAGGTACTCAGCTTCCCTGAGCTTCAGTTGCCCCATATGTAAAATGAAACTTAATAAAGCCTGTATCTGAGAGCTAGGCACGTCGGCACATGCCAGTAATCCCAGCAATTTAGGAGGCTTAGGCAGGAGGATCCCAACTTTGAGGCTAGCCGTGGCAATTTAGTGAGAATCCTTAGCAACTTAGTGAGATTCTGTCTCAAAATTTAAAAAGAAAAGGACTGGGGATGAGTGATAGAGCGACCCTGGATTTAATCTCCAGTACCTGCCTCCAAAGCCTTAATCTGTGGCATAAAATATGTTAAGCCTCTCAACAGTATCTGGCATGAGCTATCTTTATGGGAAATATTATTTTGGTGGCTGAAGCTGTTTCTCAGTATGTAGATACCGAGTACCAAAACATCAAGATTTCACGAGAACAAATTTCTATAGGCAACCTGGTTCACATACTTCCTAGCTCTCACTTGGCCTCCGTGTTTTATTAATGAAATAGTATCACTCCATATTTCATTGAGGGCACTCCAACCGTCCCATAGTTGCAAAAGCCTTTGTAGCTAGTAAGTCCATCCCTTCCAACTTATGCAAGCCAAATATTCTTTCAAGATAACAGAAAACCTTATTCTTAGATAATAAAAATTTTTATTTTTAACTGTCATTCTTTAAAATGGGAGTCATTTAAGCATGGATTTTTCTCTAGTTAGAACCAAAGTTGATTTGTCTATCATCAACATAAAAGAAACACAGCATCAAAGTTTTACAACTTCAGGGTTAAGTTAGCAGCAACAAGTGGAAATTCTCCCAAGCAGCACAGAATTGGGCATGCTGGGAAAAAATCTCAGGAAGTTTGGGCCTGTCTGGGTCATTTTATAAGTGAAGAAACAGCATTGTGGATGAATTCTTGTGTCATTCTGAAATTCATATGTCGAAATACTGTCTCCTAAGGTAATGCTGTTAAGAGTTTATAAGGATTAAATGCAATCAAGAGGACTGTAGCCCTTCTGAATAGGATTAAGTGTCCTCATAAGTGTTTTGAGAGCTAGCTTCTCTCTGCTATGTGAGGACACAGCAAGAAGGAACCATCTATGAACTAGGAAACGGGCTCTCACCAGACCCTGAATCTGACCATGTCTTGGTCTTGGACTTCCCAGTTTCTAGAACTATGAGAAATAAAGGTTTATTTTTTTTTTTTTTATTGGTTGTTCAAAACATTATTAAGCTCTTGACATATCATGTTTCATACATTAGATTCAAGTTGGTTATGAACTCCCATTTTTACCCCAAATACAGATTGCAGAATCACATCTGTTACACGTCCACATTTTTACATAATGCCCTATTAGTAACTGTTGTATTCTGCTACCTTTCCTATCCTCTACTATCCCCCCTAAGGTTTGGTTTTTAAACCTATTAGTCTATGGTATTCTTAGTCAGAGTTGATGAAGTCATAGAGATTCAGAGAGAAATGGGGAAAAGAATTCTCTGTGTCTCAGGTCACCCTGAAGTTTCGGGACTCTTGGCCTTAAATTCATGGTGGTTTTCACTGTGGCTTGAAATCACTTCCCAGGCCCCAGTAATTTCTTCTCTGAGAGCCACACTACAAGAGGACTTTCCAACCATGTCCATATAACATGACTTGCCCTCCCTGGCCACTACTCCTTGACCCAACTTGGGCTGTTCTGATTCTGCCTGAACAGGATTTTGAAATTGAAACACACTGGGGGTGGAAGTGACTAAAAGGGGGGTCACAAACTCCTTACTAGAGTGGAAGAAGCCTGGGTTCTCTCTTTCAAAGAGTCGAATGACTAACCTTCCAATGAAATGTCCCAATGTTGTCCCTTTCTTGGCTTAAGCTTCCAGAAGTTTCTGTTCTCTTAGGAACCTTCACCAATAGAGGTTGAAGGAAAGAGAGTTGGTGGCTCTGTTGGGACCAGAGAACGTGGGGACATTGCTTTTGAAAGTGAAGCAGGACTCTGAATAGGTAGCAGGGTGACTTGCTTATCTTCAAACTCCTGCACTCCCACTGTGAAAGAGTCCCCTCCCAGGGACCATCCCTGCCCTCTACGGGATTCTGCAGAAGCCACCGTATTGCCCAACCTGCTCCCTCTCCTCCTCACCTGTTGATTGGGTCAGGAGTGAGCTGCTAATGGAAATTGGGTCAATGGCCCCTCTCCTGAGGAATTTGGACTTGGGACTAGGAGATTTCAGTTCTACCTGGCTGCTCTCTTGAATAGAGGAGATGTCAGCTTTGGATCGTGGATGATAGTCATCCTTTGTGACGTGGATAGGAAAGAGCCATTTTGCAACAAGAGAAAAAGTGGAAGCCAAATGCATTAAGACAAAGAGAGGAGAATTACCTGAAGCCCCTGCAGCACCCTCTTCCTTGGCTCCAGAAGCTTTCTGAGGCCCTTGGGTGCAGTGACACTCAAGCATCCTTAGAATGCACCCCTCTTTCCGCTCACTGACTTCCAGTGGTTTTTCCAAGGCTCCCACCAGAGA